AAAGCAAAGCAAAGCAAAGCAAAGCAAAGCAAACAACACCAACAACAAAAAAGCAAAAGGAAAAAAAAAGAAAAGAACAAAAGTGTCTGGTAGACTGCCGAGTACCTGTCATTCCAAACAAACAGCCCTTCTTTAGCAATGTCATTCAGGCCAAGCCAGATGTTCGAAGCTCTCAAATCATTGAGTAATTGAAGCAGGAGTGACTGTTCATCCTGGCTGTGAATACTTATCAATTCAGCCCCTTTGGTGTTCTTGCAGGAATCACTTGCTTTACTCCAAGTTAGAGCCTGAGCGGGGTGGGTACTGAATTGCAGACACGAGTCACCAAAGGGTACCCAATTTGCCGGACATAAGTTTTTACCTACAAGTGAAAGGAATTTACAGTCGAATTGCAAGAGTTTTTTTTCATAGAATTACAAATGTTTCAATCGGTTATGGTATGCCAGACTTTAGTTTCTTCCTTGTGCTCCTCGCTGATCTAATTCATTATTTACTTCCTCGATCTGGCCAAGTCGCAAATTACATCTGCAATGGGTCACTTGCATTACAGCGTCATTTACTACGACTACCAAGATCCCTTTCCCACTTTCTTTTGTTCAGTTAATTAGTACCAATAGACCCTTTTCGCGAATTCCAAATTACCGCTGTGTTGCTTGATTACAGACTCATTTGCTCAGGCTTAGCCTCGCATCAGTGTTTAAATATTCACAAATACCAACGGTAAAGTAAAGAATGCACGACTCCAACAATTCAAACACTTTGAAATTCGAGGGACCTTGACTGAGACACGTGAATATTCTACACAAAATCGAGGCTAAGCCTAAGTAAACGAGTCTGTAATCAAGGAACACAGCGGTAATTTGGAACTTGAAAAGGGTCTATTGTCTTACTATTCTCATGAAGAAATATCAATTGGAATAAGAAAGAAAATTCGCGAAGTATTTTGGTGGTGGTAGTAAAATGACGCCATCATGCATACGGGCTATCACAAAAATATGAATTACAAAGCCTGACTTGGGAAGTGATTTGAGAGTGATGAGATACCATGTTTTCCAATGATTCAAAACTCTGCTATATTACAAATTATACTGAATCTGCACATCCATCATCTTACCATAGGGTTTCTCGCAAATGTAGGTTCTTGGGTTACCGCAAAAGTTATCATTCCAAAAGCCACCCCAGTAGCCATTTAACATTTGAACACAATCTTCTCTTCCGCTAAAGTCGTTGGGTTCACCAGGAAACCAATTGGTGTAGTTGACAGGGGATTTGTCACCGATCCAAACGTACGTTCCTTCAACGGCTCGATCAGTAAGGCCAATCCACATAGGCTGTATGATTAAGAGCAAGTTTAAAGAATATTTATCTGTATGATTTTAGATTTTAGAATATAAAGTTTCGAACGCTGTGATTGTTCGAGCGAACATTGATGATGAGACGATATTCACTTCACTTTTTCAAGGACCGCGAATGGTTGAGAATAGAGAGTTTTAGATTGATTTTTTTTTCCCCCCGCAAACGGTAAACGGCAAACGTGACCACGTTTTCATAGTTTTCCTTTATTTTACTTTACCTTTTACAAACCTTCTCACCAAGCGCAAATACTCTTTTGTTTTTCTACTACTTGGACTTTTTTGCGATTCTTTTTCAGTAATTTAAAAGAATTTTTTACTGGTCAACTGACGTTTCACGTTTGCCGTGAACGTAAATCTAAAACTCTCTAATAGCGGATATTGCAGTGTGCACGTGTGGTTGACATATTCGAACGAGAGATACAAAAGCAGACATAAAATCAATTTTATAATTTTTGCACACTGCAATATCCGCTATTCTCAACCATTCTCGGTCCTTGAAAATGTGAGGTGAATATTGTCTCATCATCAATGTTCGATCGAACAATCACAGCGCTCGAAAAAGAAACAAAGCCAGACCGTGTCATCCCTTGTACCGTTATTGTGAATTCCCACTGGGTGGTGAAGGGTTGTCGCGCGTGACGTGGATATTTCTCGTGGTCGTACCGTGTCGGATAAACTTTCTTTTTTTCTGTTCCATTTCTTTCTTCTTTTCTTTTTATGTCTGTTTTTCTTCATCTTATGGGTACATCAGTGGGTCTGATGCATCGCTTACTGAAAGAGTGCTGTTGAGATTTGCGCTTATTTGTGGCTATGTGTCAACCCTYAAGGCTCATGTAGTTTTACCTGGTTTAACATTCGTAGTCTGTAAGACAAATAGTGTTGTTCATCTGCATTATCCACCTTCACAAGATAACCTCCTGATTCACGGCAATCCTTCTTAGCTTCCCTCCATATCTTTACAACTGTGGAGAACTTGTAACAAGATGTTCCATAGCTTTCCCATCCCGCTCCGCAGTAGATAGGAGCTGATGAATAGAACGAAATACAAACAATATAAGAACGATCTCTGTGGGGAGGAAGAAGCGTCGACACTTATAGAAATGGAAAATGTTTAACAGATCACACGGACCTACAGATACAGTCAATACACTTCATGCACACTGCATTATTAACGAACGCCCCTGAGTTACATCACATGGACAAAAACAACAACAACAAACAAACAAATAAAAGCAATAAAAGTATTTTTGTAGTGGGTGCCCGCCCAAATCCTCACCTCTCTCGGGTGTTACATATACCTATTTCGGAAAAGGTGGTCGGAGCCAAAGGATATAGGCGATAGGAATTAGGTCCCTAGAAAGGCTGGGATAACTTGTGTTTCTGCTTCTCGTTCTCGTTAACAACACGTTAGTGCTTAGTGTTGAGATATTCAGTGTTGCTTGTCAATCAGTCAAAGAAACCTTCTCAAAAACCTCGATCTGATTYCTGTTTAAATGCATACCAATGATTCATTTCCGTCTTGAAATGACCTATCGTCCATCACCATTTCCTTTGGCTCCAACAACGTTTCTTGGAATAGGCATATGAAATATTAAGTCACCCCACCTGATGTTACTGGAGGTATAACAGTTCCTTGGGTTGGCCAAGGAGCTCCTGAAATGAAAAAGTAATTGATAAGTGATATGAGTATAACATCCGAGCAAAGCACAATATAAGAACATTAAGAAGGTGTTCCTTATAAATATACCTCTGAGTCTTTTGCAGATATAGCTATATTCATAGGCACAATATTCATCGTTCCAATAACCAGTGCTGGACACCAATTCCACGCAGTCTTCCCTTTTGAGGAAATTATTAGGCTCTCCCTTCCTCCAGTTGGTATAATTCGTCCCTTTGAGTCCATCGGTCCAGTTAAAGTAGCTCTCATTAGCTCGATCGTTGTATCCAATCCAGAAATGCTCATTGACAAACTGTCTCGTTTTGGAAGTGATGAAGTTCTGCTCATCTTGGCTAGCGATGCTGACTAAATGCCCTCCATAGGACTGGCATTTAATATCAGCGTCCTCCCAAGTCAGTCCTTTCACCGTCAAACTTCGAGCCACAAACTTGTAGCAGCTGTCTATGTTGGTTTCCCAGCCTGACGGGCAACTCTGAGCTCCGACTGTCATTAAAAACAAAGCAGAATAATTTAGATACAGCCGACTCCCCCAGTGGTTCTTTCTCCCCTCCCCCCGTTGTGCTATGCAATTCCTATCTACCAATTCAATAAAGTAAATACGGGGTCTAGTAAATAGCTGGCTCATTTTTACCTTCTCCTTTCTCTCCCCTTCCCTTACCCCAAAATACCGTAAAATCCCGGTTATTAACCCCCCACCCCCGGTTATAAGCCCCTCCCGGTTATAAGCCCTCCCGATTATAAGCCTTATCGCAAATATCCTTCCAGCTAAAAGGTCCCCCCTTCATCAAGGCTCCTCTTCATCCCGTACTATTTTTCCTCCCGGTTATAAGCTCCCAACCCACCTCCCTCGAACATAAGCCCTCCTGGTCATAAGCCCATCAAAAAACCTTTTACGACCCAGGGCTTAAAACCGGTATTCTATGTTATCTATATACGGGAAGCACGGGTAGCGTAGCGGCGAGAGCGCTCGCCTCTCTCCAATGCGGACCGGGTTCGAGTCCCGGGTTCGAGTCGTTTGTTGGTACCCTCCTGTGCTTTGAGGGTTTTCCGGGTTCCCCGGCTTTCCTCCCTCCGCAAAAATCAACTCCTAAATTCCAATTGGAATTACAGTGGATGAAGAGCTACTTGTAGAAATGCCACTGCCAATGCCACCCATTTATTTATTTATTTATTTATTTTATTTTTATATAAAATGCGCACCACCAAGCAAAAAAGAAGGACGGAAACGGAAAAGGAGGACCGATTGATCTGTTACTTTTTCTTTTGCGTTCCCCCCATTTTAATGGGGCCTAGCATATTTTTAGCAAGCGAAATAAAACGCATATTAAAAGTAATATAGGTCACAATTTTGCTTTGAAGATTGTTCGAGTTTGACCTGTGAATGTTTTCTTCACCCATGGAACTCGACCGCGCGTATTACGTTTCACATGTATATAAATATATGCAGGGCAAATCTTGTAATAGAGAAAGCGAATTAAACCGAATTATACCTGAACTAAACCATTCAAATAATGTATGCCTTCAACATGTTTTACTCGGTAAAGATTCTTGTTTTTATATCTTAGAACGGGAGTAGCTTAGCTAACAGCATTCAATACGCTGCCTACTTTAGCGATGTCAAGCCTAAGGATTCTGTACCATGCGCGGAGGGGACCGTAAATCTGCTTGAGAAAATATACTAATAGTCACCTAAGTTTTGTGTTCAAAATAATCAAACTAGTTAGACTCTTTAGATGACCATATTGATCATGTTTTGAGCCAAAGAAAACTGTTAATGCTATTATTGTACGCGCTTTTAATTAGGTTAACTTTAGTCACGGTATCACGGTATCTGAGTACTGAGCAAAAATCATTTTGAAGAAACTCCCAGATGTAAAGCCAAATAGAAAACAAAATATGCTGCAAACACGTCCAGAATACACATTAGGATCACCGTTACTAAAATGAGGAAGCAATCGCTTTGACAATCCTTAGAATTGCTAGTCCCGAAATTGTTAATCAAACCATCTAAACTGTTATCGTATTTCCTCCGATTTCGCTGTACAAACTATTTTAAGTAAAAACGCTTTGTGAGATGACTGATGCACGATAATCTGTCGAGGCTTGTTCTTTTAATCCCAGGTTGGTACCACCTCCGTGCGAAACAATGGTAGGCGTTTTGAGGCCCACAGTATGGGACACTAGACGAGAAGTCTTTGCAGAAACACATGACATTCCTGGTCAGATTATTATGAACTTACCGGAGTCGAGCAACATAAAGACAAGCAAAGGAGCAACGCAATGTAAAATGAACACCATGATGCAAGTCTGTACTCCCAGTCTTGCTGCTGAGAGCTACAGCGAGTTCGATTCTGGGCTCATTGAACCTAGTTCTAGAGTTACTTACTATAGTTCACGGCCGTAACCAAGCAACCGAAAGATTTGGGGATCGACTGTCTATTATAATGATAGATATGATACCTGATCATTTGAAATTTCAAGACCTGACAGATTTTTTATTTATGATTTATTTATGATCTATACTGCGCTCTTTTTCATATGAATATGATCAAAGGCGCTTTACAATGAGTTTTGAATGAGAGCAGGTCAGTATGAGGTGTAGTCACTTTTACGTCCCTCCGATATTGGTTAGCGGTATTGAGGAAGTGTGGAGAAACGGGACCGCCATTTAAAGGGGTCATCCCAGCACTTGAAAGATCAACTTTCCCCCAGTTATTTTAAGACCCTGAGTGTTTGGTCTGGCCGTTCCAGTCCAGCCGACAAGGCTTTAGTGAACCCAGCGTTAAAGAAACTCGGAAAGGAAACTCAGGAAAGAAAGAAAAAAATTAAAGAGCGAACGAAGAAAGGCGAAAAAAACAAAAAAACAAAAAGCAAAAAACAARAAACAAATGAATGAATGGTTGGAAAAATACAAGAAATGGAATCTGGCGGAGTAATAGTGAGTGTTACAAATATTTTTGCAGCTATCATCTGTAAATTATATCATGTGTTTCACACTTTTCCACTTTTTTCACTAAAATCCATGATCCTTTCCTGGACCAGAAATGCGCTAACCGATTGGGTTGGGGCCGGCAAACCATATTCGAACAATTTATGGAATGAATATTTTACTCAGTTAACTAGGAATGATAATGATTCAAACTAAATAAATCCCTTTTATATGATGATAAAATACATGATTACATTGGATAATTATTTTATTAAAAAGATAATTTAWTAATTTATGATTTTTAGGAACGAAAATTAAGAAAATTTTGATTTTACCAACACTTTGGTCAACTATTTGTTAAAAATTAGTTATTCCTGTTTTCTAAAGAAGGTTAGGTCATACTAGGTTTCGTATTTCTTGTTCATCGAACGAAAATTAAGAAAAATTTTGATTTTATCAACACTTTTGTCCACAACTTGTTAAAAAGTAGTAAACGGAAGGTAGGTCATACTAGGTTTCGTATTTCTTGTTTATCGACCTTACGTCACATGCATTCCGTTGCAAGTCACAAGACGGTACAAGGTAACACCAGACACAGCGGTTTTACAGAGGAGGTGTGAGCGATGGACCGTTTGGCTGTCTTAGCTACTTTTTCCTTCTTTTTCATTGCTCTCAGTTTAGGTAAGTACGAAATATATTAGCATAGAGATACTCATTGCTGAAGACTAGGTGATTTTTGGTACGGAATGGGTAAGCACGTGTAGATTTCAGAGCTGTGTTGGATTGCACTCCGTCCCAACTCGTGAAAACACCGGCTTGCAAAAAAAAACATGTCAAAGCATATCTTTTGATCTTTATTACATAACGTCGAAATAGATTTCTTCACTTGGGACAAGATTTTTGTCATTTCTTTTTTTAAGTTACCGTAGTGTGGTATATCGTAGCTGAATTAATGTAAATTTTCTGCGGTCTGTTTACGCGACGTCATGATCTCCTGGATTACATTGCCTTTAAGCTGGCTTTTCCCCTAAAGCCCTTAATTTCTTGTCGCAGCCCGTCTAAATATATGTTCTAGTTGTTTTTGTTGTTATAATTGATCCACTATGATCTTTTCTTTTTATTAATTAATAACGTAGACTTACCCTAATTTTAGTCCTAGATCGAGACGACATGAGCCATGCACCTATGTATGACTAAAGTGTGAAGTCGGACATTAGCATAACAATATTTGTCAAATCCTTTAAGTCTAGATGAAATTAGAAGTTAGTTTTCGTTTCTTTAGGTAAATAAAGTTTAAATCTTTAAATATTTAGCTAGATATAATTTCAACAGTAGTTTTCTTGAATTATTCATTTATAAGCTTATAATCATAGAAAGTCTCACTACGCTATAATGCGAACTGAATGGCTAGATTTTCAGCTTATTCAAGTGCTCTTACCTTTTAATTAAGAAGTCAAACATATTCCCGTGTATTAAGAATATTGAAGTTCCTAATAAATTTGTGTTATTTTACATTTATTTTGCAATAACAAAGAGCCACTGGAGCGAAATATGTGAAAGAATAAAATCCACATGGAACTTAAAGACTTGACCGGAAGTGGTCGGTAAGGGGCACCGTTCTGCACACACTCGAAAGTCAGAGTTATCTTTTTTACGTGAAGCTATTTTTGTCGTTAAAACCCTTTTAAACCGCAACTACAATGGCATTAGAAAATTCAAATTTAACCAGCCGACCTCAGCTCGACGACAGCTCGAGCAAATACATCTCGACCGGATTAGATTAAAGGTTTTGGTACTCAACCGGATGTCCAAACCCAGCCAATCACAGGTCGAGTGCGCACACGCGGAATTTTTGGCGCCAAATTTCCGTAAAGGATAAAGAGTGACTAGAGCTTATTCTTTTCTTTTTGTTTATGACTGTTTTAAATCTTCTCTTTAAATCTTGCATATTTTAATACCAAAATACTGCAACAAATTTCTTTATGCTGCAAGAATCAAAAAGAAAAAAAATTAGAAGTTGACGGAGCGTTTTATAAAATCGTTGAATTCCCTCACGTTTAATATAAGAAAATGGAAGGTTCTAGTTCATAGTCGCTTTTACAATGTTTATGTCTCCGAGCCCCTCTTAGGTAAGCTTTTTGCAACTCATTGTAAACCACATGGACAAGGTACTGAATATTTTTTTCTTTATCTTATTTCTATTTMTTTTTATTTTTTATTGCAGAATTACGGTTATTTTATTTTGTTTATTTCGTATTTTATTTCTAGTGTACGTAAATATTTAAAAGTTCCTTTGTCTTTTAGCCTCAGCAGCTGACAATTGTCCACAAGGTTGGAATAACTTTCGTAGCTTTTGCTACAAATTCTCATTCACAAGTTTAACTATACGTGGCAAAAGCTGGGAGGATGCTGAGAATACCTGTCAATCATTTGGGGGCCATCTTGCAAGTGTAACTAGCCAGACAGAACAAAACTTTATTTCTAGTTCTATACAGAAATATAGTAATGATCACTTCTGGATTGGTTATAATGACCGAGCCAATGAATCCAATTTCAATTGGACTGATGGCTCTAATCCAGGTGCATACAAAAACTGGAGGAGGAATGAACCTAATAACTTTAAGAACAATGAAGATTGTGTGGAGTTGCTCTTTTCTGATGGCAAATGGAATGATGATGATTGTAAAAAGTTGTATGGCTTCATTTGTAAGATAAAATCAGGTAATTAA